GCCCCCTGGGGAGGCAGCCGGTTGCTCCCACTTGCCCCTGTTCTTGCTGTGGGGGTTAGACTGGGACCAATGCTCCCAGAGGTGTAGGACTGACTTCTGGCCCTGCCCTCCCCCTCCCATCTGCTCTGTTCCTCATGCCTCTCTGCTGCCTGGCCTCCTTCTCCCCAAGCAGCCCTCTTCCTCCAGGGACTGGCACATCTTGCCCCATGCCCACAAAAAGCAGAGAGGGCAAGGGGGAGAGTGGGGGCCACTGCAGAAACAGGAAGGGATTTATTCTTTGGGTACCTGATTGCAAGGACAAAATTCTGACCAGTCACTGGTGCTGCCCAGACATGGGGCCTAGCAAGGTCTGGCTGGAATAGGAATAGTTCCTCTGGGATATAAGTGGCTAGAACACCCCACCCTGGGAACAGCCTTCTTCCCTGTGTGAGATTCCTTCCTCCCATAGCTTTCCTTCTCCTGCTGCAGAGGCCGGGAATCGTTTACCCTGGAGACCGTGGGAGAGCTGGAGGAAGCAGAATAGCCTGGGGAAGAACAGAAGGGGAACTCCCTGGGTCTGGCAGGAGAGGCTGTGAAGGAAGCGATACTGGAGCTGGTTCTCAGCATCCAAGCGGAAATCCCCATTCCTGCGGTGTGGGCAGTGGAGTCCTGGGTGGGGCAGGGTAGCTGTGTTTCTGGGCCATGCTCCCACGCCACCCAACGCTCGCCTTCTCTCCTGTCTAGGTGAATAACTGCACCGATGTTGTATTCGAGGCCAGGGATGAGCAGCAGCTGAGTTCCTGGACAGCGGCAATCAAAGAATGCCTGACCCGAGGGTAAGGGCCGAGTGAGGACGCTTGAGTGGGCAGCAGCTGGGGGGCCCCTGTTCCAGGTGACACTGGGCACATCTGGCTCTGGGCACTTACGTTCGATGCATGAGATTCCCTCCCGGAGGGAGGCTTTGTCTGGGCACACGTTCCCCACACACAGCTGCCAGGCAGCCTAGGGCTGAAGAGGAGCCCTGGCCAGGTCTTGGAGAAGCAATTTGCCCTCCGCCTGCCCCCCCTTGGGCCTCAGGACACAGACCTTTGGCTCTCTTAGCTTCTGGATGGCAGGGCCACGTGGAGTCCCTTTGCATGCACCCCCCAGCGGAGGGAGGCTTTGTCTGGGCACACGTTCCCCACACACAGCTGCCAGGCAGCCTAGGGCTGAAGAGGAGCCCTGGCCAGGTCTTGGAGAAGCAATTTGCCCTCCGCCTGCCCCCCCTTGGGCCTCAGGACACAGACCTTTGGCTCTCTTAGCTTCTGGATGGCAGGGCCACGTGGAGTCCCTTTGCATGCACCCCCCAGCTCAGCC